ATTTTTTGTAAATAGCAAATGTTTTCAAGAAAGATTTGGTACAAGTGATCATCGGGAAGAGTTAGTGATTTGCGTCCATAATTAATGAGAAGTAAAATTTATGAACAATGGTTTTTTAACTATTTATAAGTTTAGTTTTTTTTAAACTATCTAAAAGTTTATTTTAATAGTTTATTATTAATATTCTGAATTGGTTAAAAGACTAAAAACCGAAGACCATATAATTGATCAAAAAGACAGGTCCTTAGTCAGTCTTCTCAGGACTGATCTAACCCTATCTAAAACTGTGTGTATAATTAAAGAATAGTTTACCATTATATAATAGCATTCATCATAATTAGCATATTTTTTTCAATCATATACTTAATGATATCTTTATTTATCAATACGGCATGTATTATAGCAAATAAAATTTTATTAATAAAGAAGCAATGGCTAATCGAAATATTCATAATTAATCATTAGATGGTGTATTACATAAGATATGAATATAACTAATTTTCTGATCAATGAAATGATGAAAATTAGAATTTTTTTATAAAATCAATGATTGTGAATTGTGATAGCCACAAAACTTGCTTCAATGTTAATAATATATTGAACATGTTTTTTTATATATATTGTCACTTGTTAAATACAATTGCTTACATTCGATTAAATTATAGTACTATTTCAAATTAACACTGAAGTGTTATTTTCATATAACACATCAAACCAGAATTTTCATGAGCCAATGCGTATAATTTTTAATTATGATGCGAAAAAGAAGATTCTAAAAAAATCATATTAGCCTAAAAAGGTCTCTTAATAAAAATAAAGAATACTAATGTAATAATTAGTGATGTACTGGAGGTGCTAAAAACTAAAACGACATACGCTGTGATCTATTAAAAAATTTTGATTCTTAATAAATTATTAAATACAGCAATTAAATATTATCTATTTTTAACACTCGCAGCCCTATCACTAGTAATAATATTGATAGATTCACTAATAATATGCTGGTGATAAACAATATAACCATTGATAATAGAATCATACGTGTGTGCTAAAAAATAAACAAAGAACCATAGCAATAATAGATATTTTTATGTGTAAAAACGAGAAAAGAAATGAAACTTAAACTGATTTAGTATTCGAAGCTTCATTAATAAGAACAATACATACGATTATATGAGTAAACTTTATTCAATCGTTATATAAGCATGTCCTTTTCAATATCATATAATGTAATAAACCATATTATTGTTCAAAAGAACATCAAATTAACCATTGGATATCTGGCCTCTATTCTTGCACCTATTCTTGCATCTATTCTTGTACCTACTCTTGCATCTATTCTTGTATGTTTTTTTCATATACGCTTCTAACAATTACCATTAGCCATGAGCCAACAAACCTTTCTTTTAAGTTTCAAATTTGATAAAGCTTCAATATACAAGTCCTCTAATACTAAATACCAATATTTTACAAATGCATTTGCATATAAATATATGATAATAAATAAAGACCCAACTCCAAATCGATCAACTGTTTGTGATGCTGCTGCAAAAGAATAGAAAAGCATTAAAAAAAATGAAAGATCCTGAAATCGATGATATTATAAAAAATACTTAGCAACGTTTTTTAAAATGCAAGGGTATAGATATTTTCGGTCCACCACTTTATCTCAATCAAAGCCTTCAGAAATTTCAAATGAGAATTTTCTCAAAATACAATACCACAAATCTTGCAAATATTTCATGTAGATGAAATTTGAAGTAATGCATTGGCTCAAAAACAGGTTGCTAGTTTTAAAAAAGCTGCAGAAAAAAAATGAAAGAATTGGAAACTACATATAACTTTACTTCTGATTTACAGCTCTGCCATGATCTATATATTAGAATCGCAAACCTTAAATCTGACATTCTAGAATATGAAAAACAACTATATAAACTAAAAAGAAATGCTGATTATCAATATAAATATTGATCTAAAAAGCTTAAAAAATTAGAAGAGAAACAAGTGGTAATTCGATATAACATACCTGGAAAATCAGCATTTTTGCTTCAGAATCTAGAGTTGCTTGATTATATTCATAACTCAGTAGAGTATGGGTCAGCTGATGCACGCAGACATAAAGAAGCCGTTAAAGTAAGAATCATAAATCACTTAAGAGAAACTTTGAAAAAAAACTATAGTATTTACGATTTTAAATAATTACTTTCTACCTCGTCAATCAAATTCAATTGCGGCTAAAGCTCATTACCATCTAGCCTAGATAGCCATAGCAAGTGTTTCACGTACTGAACCGAAAGAGCATATCAATGAGCACTATTGTCTTGTCTCAGTTAAAGAAGCAAGACAATTTGCACACACCTTTGCAAATGTTTCTGTAATTATCTCCCAAGATGATAAAGCCAAAATAGGTCTAAAAATACCTGCTATTGGTAGAATATTCTGCACTTTACAGTCTGTATCCGAACCAGTTCAACTACCTAACTATAATTTCACATGTGAAAGTGGTCAAAAACTTATTCTGTCTGTTTACCTCATGATTAACCCAAATGAAGAAAATGATGATCTTTGAACAGGACAAGTGGCAATTTTTGTTAGACCCCAGTGGTCGATCAGTATATCATATAGAGGATCTTATTTCTCTTGTATCAGATAATCAGTATTCAGAAGTCTAAAAATAAACTATGAGATAAAACCGATTTAGATTTTGTTAGTTGACGGGGTCGTATTGCAAGCTATTTAAAAAATTTGATCTAGATTATCTGACTGTACGTACACATGCCCGAGACAATCAAAGTACAATCTAGTCAAAAGGAGCATAGCAACGCTTTCAGAAAAGTTGGCTGAGATTGTTTTGCCAATAGATCATTTTGGAAAGTATCTTGATAGCCAGGGTAATGTTATTGATACCGATTTGATAGCTCAAAATTTTAAATATGCTAGCACAATGTTGTGTGATATATGGTATTGCAATCCTATTTTTGGAAAGCATATAAATGCAACATATATTGATAAAATCACTAATCCGTTTATAAATCTTGAATTTGACTTTGAAGATCAAAAAAAAAATAAGCAAAATAAAAAACAACAAAAAAATGAAGAAAAAAATGAAAAAGACGACATATCTTCTGATATTTTTATTCTATGGAATTGAATTGAAAAGTATTGTAATATATGTCAATACTCGCTTGATATTGAATGCTGTACCGATTTAGATTGCTGTGAACCCACAAAAGCATTGGAAGCTATGGAATTTCTTTGACTCTCCAATAGTTTTTTTTCACTCGTTACCAAGGCCAAAGATGGTTATTACATCAATCCCATTCATCTTCTTCAATATTCTAAACAATTTAAGGTTCCTGGTTACGATAAAAATTGTCTATCTATTAGTTAATTAACATATTCCTGACTCTGCTATTCCATTTGCCACAAATACTTTCCAACTTTGGCATATATTACAAAACACAAATGTGTAATACATCCATTTATCTGTGGGAGACCTAGAAAAAACCAGCCCAGAAGTTCAGAATCTATTGTAGAGGCTATTATAATAACTAATTCTGTGATATTAGAAGATTTTAGTATACTTCCCTCACAACAAGACAAAAACTATGATTTTTTTGTTAACAATATTAGAGAATACGCTTCGGATATAGAGTTTTAGTATATGTAATTGATTATTAGAAAAATCTAGATTATCTATATCTTTAAATGCATAAATAAGGGTAGATATGTATATACATACTGAATACAATATAAAAGAGCATTTGTTTACGAATATATATGTATATATATGTATAAAAATGAGATCCAATTTTATACAATAAAAATTTGATCTTAAGTTGCTACAAATTTTCTGTTAGCATAATACTATTAATTAATGTGTTTAAACCCAAAATAAAAGAATAAAAAACTATTAAATAGATTAGCATGTTAAGCCCGGGAGTAAAAAAAAATAAAATTATTAAAGCAGTCAATCCATTATTCAATAAAAGTATATGTCTCATTATTCAATAAAAGTATTCTACTAGTTATTAAATTAAGTATTCGACTACATAGTTATAAATGATAATGATAAGATATTGGTCATGCAACGCTTAATATTATGCTCCATGATCCAATATCGATCGATGTTATCGTGCAATTATGATCATGATTTACGAGTCATGGTTGACTAACTGAGTTTTAATTCAGGATTGTTATGCTTATCTAATAATATACAAAAAATAACAAGAAGAAAAAAATCTATAATCATAAGAGTTTGCATGATAAGTATAGTATAAACTTTAAAAATCTACTGCTAAAAATCCTATTTGTATATTGGTTATATGAATATGCAATAGTTATCGATACTGTATAATCTCTGGAAAATTACTTTAGAGAATTTAATATATAGATTATGTGTAATGTAAGACCTTGGGCTAACCCCCTCCCCCAAAGATATTATGTAATATCTGTCACAGCCCTTATAAAATATTCTTTTTATTTTAACAAAAAAAATTTTTTGCAAAATTTTAAGTTAAAAAAGTTTTTAATCATTATTTTAATCAAACTCTAATCTAATTTTAACTAGTTGTTATTTATTTTGTTTTGATTAATATAAAATCAAACTAAATCAAATGATTGGTTAATTAGAGAATAGCAATATATTATATTGCTAATAAATAATAATTGTTAAAAAAATATTCTTAGATTATAGACCAACGCAAGCAAATTTGCCTGTGTTGGTACTATAAATATGCTATTGATCTATATTTTTAACAATTTAGAATATTCAAATAAAATTTGGTATAATAATATTTGAAAATATAGATTACTTTTT